AAAAGAAAAGAAAAAGAAAAAGAATTTTTGAAGCATTCCTAAAGAAGAGCACAGATACTTCAAAAGATTAAAGTACTACAAAAGATTAAAAGTACACAATTTCAGTAGCTTATGTACATTTTCTGTTTTCTTTTTTTTTTTAGAAGGATTTGCCTAGCTATAATTTTTTTCCCTTTTCATCTCTGAGTTTTGCCTTCACCCACTCATCCATCCATTCAGTATACTCATGTGAATAACATTGTGGGTCGGTTTTTAGGAGTCCAAAGGTCTCTTGTAAGGCTCTTGTAAACGAGAGAGAGCCAGAAGGCTGGGTATACACATAGTGGGGATGCACTGTGAGAATTGCCTTCTCAGATGAACAAAGTGAGAAGTTTGGGGGGGAGAAGGAAGAATTCATCCTGGTGGTGTTGGAAGATTTTCACAGAGGAAGTGAGTTTGAGCTAATTAAGGAGCACAGGAGAAAAGGGAGGCTTAGAAGTACATTCGAAGCAACAGAAATCAGCTGTAAGTATGAAGCTTAATCTGTTGTGGTTTTAGGTGGTTGAGTATTGGTGCTTCTTCAAACTCAAGAGTGATGGTGGTAGTGCTCAGACTATGGTGCCTATTGGGCAAAGGGGCTAGTGAGAAGACTAATTTACTGATGAAGAAGCAGCTGAGAAGTGACTTTCAAAAGTTTCCAGTTCTTATCCGCCCAGTCAAGTTTTCTCTTGTCTCATGCTGATAGCACAAATTGGAGTTTAGGAAGAGATTAAAAAGGGACAGAGAGTCTTGTTCTCACAACCTGTTCTGGTTGCATAAGGAAAACACCAATCTAGCATTTCGAGTAGTGCACCACATAAAACAAATTCCCACGGATATCAGTTGATAGATTATGCTGACATTAAGCATTGAATGCCCATGTTAGAACAGACTGAGAGTAAGCACCCAGATCCATTTTCCAAGGCTCATACCACCTTATGGGATGAGAATAGCAAGGAATTTGAAGAAGGGAAATACCAGACTCTTCAGAAAAAGCAACTATGACCTTCTACTCTGGTTAGAGCTTATAAGGGAGGGAAAACTGGGTATTGCTGCTCAAACATACCAGTGTACATTCTTTTTGGTTGTTATGTTACAAAGATAAATTATTATGCAACGAGAGAAGCATGATTCCTCATTCTAAATCAGAACTTTTCATTCTGGCGAACCATTTCAGTTGGCAGGGTAATGTCCTCAGTTAGATGTTCCCTATGGATATTGTTCCCGTTAGATACACTATCTGGGTAGACACTACCTCTGCTACCTGTATATTGCTAACTGTGCTGGGTCTAGAATTTTTTTGTACTCTACTCCCATTATTTAATTTAGTATTTACAAAATCTTGTGAAATTTGTACTTTATATATTGACATTTTACAGACGAGAAAATGAAAGTACAGAAAAATGATTTATTTTTTACCAACCTATAGATATGAATGAATAGAACCAAGACTTGGAACCAGGCAGGCTGATGTAAGAAAGTTAAGTACTATGGGCCACCGTGGGCCTCCCTGAAAAGTGCAGGTCTTAATTCCCAGAACCCATAAAGTTGTTAGTTTATATGTCGAAAGGGACTTTGAAGATGTTAATGATCTAAAGATGGGGAGATTTTGGGGGGGGCAATGTAGTCAGAAGAGTCCTTGTAAGGGGGGGCTAGCAGGGTAAGAGTCAGCGAGAAGCAGGTGTGACCACAATGCAAGCAGAGGCTGGAGTGACATGGGCCTTGGCTAAGGGACAGGGTAGTCTTTTAGAAGCTGGAAAAGAGTAGGGAACAGATTCTTCCCCCAAACCCAAGGCAGCCCTGCCCACTCATTTTAAACTTCTAATCTCCAGACCTGCCAGAGAATATGTGTGCTGTTGTATGCCACTAAATTTATGATACTCTGCTATGAAAGCAGTAGGAAATTAATAAAACTCCTATGTTATATTTTCATGTTTTATATTTGACTTCTTTGATCAAGATTCTGATGCTCAGAATAGCAAAAACTAGACAGTATACACACATATACGCACATATATACAATTTTATGTTAATGTGCCTTTTTTCTGTTGGGGCCTGTTATACACAAGGGAAGCAGCATCAGTTATGGCTCATTCAGTTTATATGTTAGCCTACAGGAAAAAATGAGGAAGACTAGGAAATATCATGACTATACTGTGCTAAGGAAAGGAGATACTGACAGTTGACTGGCAGATGAACCAGGTGAGGAGAGAAGAACGTGGAAAGAGGCTAGATGAAAAATGTCGGGCAGGAAGGTATGGTATTTGCTAAGGAGAGACGGGACAGACACGCTTGTGAAATAGGTGATCGCTGTGAATGTGGAAAAGAATAGATACACTTAAAATATTGTAAATAATATGGAGATTTAGGTAAAGAGTTGTGTTCTGGCTTGGCACATGTAGCTTAAGCGGCTAGGGTACCAGTCACATACACCGTAGCTGGCAGGTTCCAATCCAGCCTGGGGCGTG